CCCTTGCCTACGGTTTTTTTATGCGCGCCTGTTTTCTTTATATTATTGTGCCACTAATCGCTCTAGTGTTGCACTTTTTTATAATTAGTTGGTGTTTCCATTGTATCACAATTTGTGCTATGTTGTATTCAACTATTGTATATGCCCTCCTGCTATGGTCCCTTTGGGATTGGCACTATCTACAAATAAATAATATATATATATATATATATATATATATATATATATATATAGAGAGAGAGAGAGAGAGAGAGAGAGAGAGAGAGAGAGAGAGAGAAAGAGAGATACGGGAAGACAACCGGAACCGGCATACATATCACAGCGCGGATCACAGCAGTTCGCGCTCGGCTTTACAGGCCAAGTACGTAGCCCACTGCATAAGGCATATCGCTTTTCGTCATCCTTACTATATATATATATATATATATATATATATATATATATATATATATATATATATATATATATATATATATATATATATATATATATATATATATATATATATATATATATATATATATATATGTATATATATAGTAAGGAGGAAGAAGAGCTAGTGAGGCGGAATTGTTGTAGGCCCGTGTGCTCAGATTTGGGTGCACGTTCAAAAATCCCAGGTAGTCGAAATTTCCGGAGCCCTCCCCTACGGCGTCTCTCACAAGCATATGGTGCTTTTGGGACGTTAAACTCCCCATATCAATTAATCAAGAAGAGCTAGTGGGCTACCTTCTTAGCCTGAAAAGCCGAGCGCGAACTGCTGTGATCCGCGCTGTGATTTGTATGCCGGTTGTCTTCCCGTATATATATATATATATATATATATATATATATATATATATATATATATATATATATATATATATATATATATATATATATATATATATATATATATGTGTGTGTGTGTGTGTGTGTGTGTGTGTGTGTGTATACTAGGGACGAAGAACGGTAAGACAACCGCTAAGTTTTCTTGAATATATATTCAAGAAGTGATGAGACACAACTTAGCGTTGTCTTAATTTAATTTCATATATTAGGGGCACAATCACAGCAGTTCACGCTCAGCTTTTTAGGCTAAAATCGTAGCCCACTGTGGCATATCGCTCTTCTTCCTCCTTACAACATCCTGGCGACGCCTGGAGAGTCATGGGGACGACAGAAGGAAGGGGTAGTGGATACGGCTTGAGGAGACTGACGCGCACTGTCTCGCAATCAAGGCGGCTCCTGTCTCTTGATGGTTTGACAGGCTTATTTACAGATTTTTTGTGCGAGCGTGGTTCCACGGCATAATAAGGACCTAGAAAGGCACTCGGAGCAAGACAAGTGAGCCCACGGCGAAAGCCAGGACTTGCTGGTCGCGGTCGTTAATTTCTTTTATTGCGATAGCAATTATATGGACAGTCTCGGCTGTATTTCGCCACCGGCATCGACGTGGGCGTCGGTGTCGATGTCAGGCATATCGTATATGTATACGTATCTATATATATGCAAACACAAGAAACAAAAAATTCATAAAGAAGACTCCGGCGCGCGGAATCGATCGTGGGACCTCCGCGTCGTGAATGCGAGGCTTTAACCAATGAGCCACCGAGTGGTACGTCATTGAACGCTCAAATGGCAGGATATTTATATCTACCACTTGCATCTGCTGGCGGGCATCTCGGGGGGGGGGGGTGAGGACTATCATAATTTTCTGGTTAACCTCCCTGCCTTCTCCCTTTTGTTGCTTCCTTCCTTCCTTCATCAGCAAGATGGCGCAGTGAGCACGCGGTGGCTCTCATTTCTCACGCTTACTTTAGCCTGCGGAAAGGAGGGGAGCGGACAATCTATCGAGCGCCTTTATCTCCCGATGGAGGGGATCATACGTCTTGGCTGGCGTTGGGCTTGACTGGAATGATTCTGTTGTATTTACGGGGTACCTAAAGGTCACTGCAATTGTTGCACAGCCTCCATTTGCGAAAAGGGCGCGCTTTTCAGACACAGCGAAGTAACAACTGAGACGCTTATCCGCATTCATCTGTGTGCTAGTGAGTACGCTTCGTGCGTAATATGTGCGTGAAAAACGCGGGGCAGGTTTCGATCTGCTCGCCATTCTGCGCGTGACCTTCCAATTTGTTGCTATCACGTTCATTGCTTCACTTTTGCGGCAAAGCTGTGACGTTTTTGGTGGCTTGTTCGTTCAAGGGGATTGGACGCACCAACTGATGGTACTCTTCACCGTGCTGTACAATTTGAAAAACATGGCTTAATTCGAAGCGTCATGGCGGTACAGAAAAATGGTGTCAAGAGTAGCACATAGTTCAAGGCCATATAAAAGAAAAAAAAGGTGAAGAGCCTGTTGTTGACTGCGTAGCGGTAATATACGCATAACCATTGCATAACTTCTAAACAAGAGCACCGCATCACAGTTAGGCTGGTAAGAATTGACGTAAATCGCGAGCATGTCTCCCCGCGTTCAGTTGAAGCGCTCAGTTAGACCCATCGTCTTCGGATAGGCTGTAGAGGTGCGTTGAACCAGGCGTCACGAGCGGAGAATTTTTTGAAGAATTTTGGGTAGAAACACACGCCCTCTGTCGCTGAATAGTTGGCGCGTTGTACCATGACGTAGCATGAATCGTCGTAAGTTGAAATTGGCTACATCTCGGGAATTAGCGGAGGGTAAAGAAGCTGTTTGTTCGTATCTCGTAAGATTGCCTACGGCGACGATTACCCGTCGATTACCAGCCGCGGAGTAAGGGAGTGGTCTATACAGATCGATGCTGAAACGGTCAAAAGAGCGTGCAGTAATCCATGTGAATGGGCAAATACCTCGTGTTGTTGGCACAATGGACAGAATCGAATGTATTTCCGGTTGAAGGTGTACATTCCACGCCAGTAGTAACGCTGGCGAAGCCGTTGGTACGTCTTGATCGCGCCAGCGTGAGTAAATTGCGGATCAGCGTAAAAATGCCCACATACGTCAAATCACATGTGTTTTGGTATCACAAGAGGCATTCGCAGCAATCTGCTTTGTAGTTTCTTCTGTATAATAGTGCGTCTCTTATCACAATGTACTGCATGGCAACGAAAAGCACGTGGGTATGCAGACGTGGAAGTGTCAGAATAGATGTGTAAGAGAGGTAATTCACGGGTTCTTTCGTTGCTCAGATGGCATGCTTGTGACGGAAAGGGCAGTGATAGGAAAGTCTGCTTTTGACTGCGAGTCTTCCCTAGATGGCAATGTTGATTAATAGAGCGCGTCCGCGTCAGCATGTTTCCGGCCAGATTGGTAGACGGCGCGAATGTGAAATTTCTGAAGCCGAAGAATCCAGCGTCCAATGTGACCAGTGGGATCTTATAGGGACGCTAACCAACAACGTGATTATTGGTCGGTTACCACGTCGAAAGTCTGGCCGCACAAGTAAGGACGAAACATGCCTAATGCCCACAAGACGGTGAGGCACTTTTTCTCGGTGACTGAGTAGTTGATTTCTGCTCTTGTGAGGGCACGGCTAGCATATGAGGCGATGTATTCCGGAATTCCGGGCTTACGCTGCGCGAGTACTGCGCCAAGACCGACACCGCTAGCGTCAGTGTGAACTTCGGTCGGAGCAGATGGGTCGTAGTGGCGCAGAATTGGCGGTGGTGTAAGAAGGTGGCGATGTGTGTTGAAGGCGTCGTCACGTGCGTGGGTTCAGTTGGAAAGGTTAGGAGATGCAGCGAGTAGTTTCGTCCGTGGTGCTATCACTAATGCAAAGTTGCACAGGAAGTGACGAAAATAAGAGCACAAGCCCACGGAGCCCTCTGTTTAGGGAGTGTTGTCGGCTTTGGAAACTCGCTGACCACACGATGTTTGTCCGGGTTCAGAAGTATACCATCCATTGACACTACATGGCTAAGTATAGACCTTTTTTTATGGAGAGGAGGATTTCCTCCTTTCTGAGATGTTGCACGAGAGTACAAAAGCCGACGTCAAAGCCTCGGCAGTGAATTTTTCGGGGGTCACGCGCACTAACAACAGCCCAGAAAGGTCTATGGCGGCGCCCAGGAAGCCTTGAGTAAAAAGGTATATAGTGAGTTGGCGAGCTCCGAAGAGGCATGTCTTCGCGTTTAGCTGAAGGTTTTCCTTTGTAAGACAACGAAGCGTCGTGCGCAAACGGTTGACGTAGGTGGGAAAGTCTGGGGAAAAGACGACGATGTCACCAAGGTAACGTGAACATATGTGCCACTTTAGGCCACCTAAATGCTGTTCATTGTTTGCAAGAACATTACAGGTTCATTGCAAAGACCGAATGGGATTACTGCGAATTCGTATAAGCCGTTCGGCGTAAAAACACTGTTTGAACATGGTCACATTCTGCCATGGACACTCGCCAATAACATAAACGCAAGCCAATGACGAAACGTATTCAGCCTCTTGTAGGTAATCGATGGCGTCATCGATTCGAGGAAGATGGCAGAGATCTTTTCGCGAAACTTTCTTGAAACGCCGGTAACTTACGTCAAATCTAAAGGAACCATATCTTTTCCTCACAAGCGCTGCAAGTGAAGACCAAGAATAGAAGAAAGGCGTGACTACATCATGTTGAATCATTTCGTTCACTTGCGTCACAAAGATATCACGTTCCGCTGCTGAGACACGGTAGGGGCGCTGTCGCAAAGGAGTGTGAGTTCGAGTGTCGGTACTATGAGCGACAGTGTTGATTTGGCTCAGTGCCTTTTGAGGTAAGTCGAATGAATGTTGAAATTCATGAAGTCATCAAAGGCCTTGCTACTCAGCTGGCTGAACAAGGTAGTCCACGATTTAATCAACTTCAGTTTATGGTTGCTAGCTTCTGACTGGGGTATGGTTTTTTGTAAACTAGATATCAGTACGTCCGCCTTGACCTTACGTAACAAATTTATTCAGGGATGAAGTATTCAATTAGCGACTTGTCAGAGTTATTAGAGTTTCTAGTAGAGTTTTTTTTTCAAGTAACGTTGCCTCTACGAGCCTCACTAACAATAAGCACCCTCACCATGAGGCATGGCAAAGCCGAATCCACCGGTTTCGAGACGACCCGGCAACTGGAGGACGCTGCAGTCGTGGGCCACCAGGTACTCGATGGTCTGCGAGTCCATGAGCACGGCGAAGCCTTCTTCGCGCACTTTTACCACAGCGGTAGATACTGAGTCGAAGAAAGCGTGTGGCCCGGACATTTCCATCGTTGACCACACCCTCTGCAGGTGAGGGTCAGCTGACTCCTGCACAGAGAAAAAAAAAACAGAGGAGGGGGATGGGAGCAGGGACAAAGGGGTGTTTAATTTTGGCATAAAGCTACTAAGTCAATCTTGTTCAATGCCCTTGTAGTACCTTTAGCTGGTGGCATTGTTACATATAGAGGATGGAATGCCGATTGTTTTAATATTTATATTATTTCATTTATGTGAATGCAGCGTCTAAAAGTGCCATATTAAAGTTCCTGTAAAAGTGCCGCGTGTAAAAGTCATTACCCGCTACATTTTTAGCCTGGAACCGTTTACCCAGGGACATTGGTAAAATAAATTGAAATGATGCGTTTGACCATGCACTCCATGATTTCGTCCAGGCATGACCAAACTGTGGTCTAGTGTTAACGTTATGATGATGTCTTCATGTTCACTTCACATAACGCGTGTAATATGCGTTTTAATTAATTAGCACCGATTAAATGGCTTTGAAGGCACTAGTGGTATTCGATAAATAAGTAAATCAAATAATAAATAAATCATGCAGTCGAAGAAAAAGCCATTCAAGAATAGAGAGTTTTAGTGCTGCGTACGTGGCGGCGTTGCGTACGTAAGGACGCCACGTTCTGCGTAGTGCGCATGCGCAGACCGCAACGCGCACGAATCGCGTTACGTACGCAGCCGCTACGTACACACGCATGAGATGCGTGCGTGCGTACGTATGAGCTGATCGCGCCGCTCTCGAACAAGTTCGCGACAGCGCGAGACTTCGTTTTGCAAAATGGCGGCATCGAAGGCAAGCACCGACCGGCCCTGTGGCTTAAAATATGGCCGTAATCTGGCTATAACACTTGGATTGGCTCACATTGGCTGTCAACAACACGTGCTTCTATTTTGATCTACCAGATGACGCAACACGTTTCACGCTCGTTACGTACGCGGGTACTACGGCGTACTAAAAGCCGATTAGTGGCAAACGACCCCACGTAACGCAAGGCGCTTGCGTTATGCGTACGTAGCACCATTCCGCAGTACTAAAACTCTCTAATGACTTCGAAGTTTGTGTTCGTTTGACTAATTTCTCAGACCAATTTCAATTCTATACCACCACTCATTTTTAAAACATAACCTAAAGAGTGCCGGCCACAGGGATTTCGGTGTCGCCTTCATTGGTTGTGACCAAAAAGTCCGCGTGTGAGTATAAGGGCAGGTCTTCTACAAGAGAGCCACGTCCGTCCGTGCTCGTAAATGCTTCATAAAAGCAGTCTACGGACGCCGTGTCGTGCGAGGAGTGTCATTAACACATGTATTATTGCATGGCAGAAGCGTACAATATCGCTGAGCTTCCAAACATGGTAACTCTCTTAGGCCGCATTCACACTGAGCATTCCGGCCGCCGAAAGTGCCCCGAATCCGGTTCGGTGGCGGTGAGTTCCGCCGGAAGGGCCCTCTCCGCGCCGATCGCTCTCGGACCGATTTTTGCAGCGTCTGCCGCCGAATCGGTCACCGCGGACCAATAGGAGCGCTAGTCAAGGAATTTTGAAAAATGGCGGCCAAGCCTTACTTGTTATGCCGCAGTGCACGTAACTGAATGTTGAAACCAACGGGAATTTAACCTACTCTGTGCCTACTTCGCCTCAGTATTTCGTGAAAGAGGGGACGGAGCTTGCTGTTGGCGTGACCGAGCTTGTTGTGGTCTTGCGAAGCAAAACAAACCTACCAACGCCAGTGGCGCCGGTGGTTTTTCTGCTCTTTGTGCATTACAAGACAGCCACTTGCCAGCAAAGTAAGCCGTACTGTCTTTTCTTGCTTCTTGCGTACTCGGATCGTTGAAGTATACACCACCGGGTAGCGTAGTAGCGTTTGCAAGCCGCGACAACAACCGGGTGACAGCGCATCCATCCCGCGTTCGCCCCGTAGTATATGGCATATTCGGCGGTGCGGGGCGCGTCCAGTGCGAACGACGCTGCGTTTCGGCGGCAGGGGAATTTCGGTCGCTGTAGAAAGCGGATGTTTCAGTGTGAACTAGGCATTAGGAACAGTTGGTTTAAAGACTCGTCGATTTCAAAACACATAGGCTGAATTAAGTATAAATATCAAAAAAGCATCAACAACGTGGGCAGCTGCACAGGTTCGTGTGTTGTCTCATGGTCGAGTGATCGCTACCGCGTCCACCAACAAAAGGCAGAATTATGTCACAGTGGCTCTTCCGAACAGTATATGCGGTAGGTAATCTAGGATAGTTTGAAAAAGCCAGTTTACAGGCGCACAGACGCTTCTTTCTTTGCAGCACGGCAGCTACTGGCGAAAAGCGCGCGACTTGGGCCACCTCGAGCGAGCGGCCAGAGGTAGTCTCGCGCGAAGTAAGGGGAAACGGCTCTGTGCGTATTGGAGAAGTAAAGCGCCCAGATGGTACGCTCGCGACAGACCCGGTCGAGATCGAGGCGACCTTCTTGCGCCACTTCGAGACAGCCTTTCATGAGCCGGACGCCACGACGATCGCCTCGGAGCCAGCGTCCCTGTCGGAGCTGTGCGTCTGGAAGAGGATGAATGCCCGACTATGTGCGGCGCAGCGACGTTACCAGAATTGAGGGCCGCTATCCAGTCAATGCCACCAAACTCGGCTCCTGGTGCGGACGGCCTCACAGCGGGCTTCTACGCCACCTTTTTCGAGAGCCTATGTGAACCACTCCTAGCCATAGTCAACACGGTCCTCGAGGGACACACGAAACCTGCCTCCTTCGGCATGGGGCGTGTAGTCCTCATTCTTAAAGAAGGTGCACCACCGAACGACCCTGCTTCTTGGCGCCCGATCACGTTGTTAAATGTAGACTACGAGATCGTGGCGTCAATCTTGAACAGCCGACTAAAGACCTTTCTGCCGGATATTATTGCTCCACACCAGGCTTGCGCAGTCCCGGGCAGATCAATGTTCACCAACCTGACCACGACAAGGGACGTGTTCTAGTACGCTTCGGAGAAAAGAGTCACTGGAGCCTTTTTTTCACTTGATCAGGCCAAGGCTTTCGATAGGGTCAGGGACACCTACCTGTTCGAAACCCTGCGAGAGTTTGGCCTACCGGCAAGCTTTGTACAAGTGATAAGGCTCCTGTACTCAGACCTCAGGTGCCACGTAGTAGTAAATGGCTCCACGACGGAACCCTTTCAGTACACGAGAGGGATCAGGCAGCGGTGCCCGCTTGGCCCAACCCTCTTTGTACTCGCGATAGAGCCGCTACTTACATCCCTGGCAAGCGATGCGCACATCCGGGGCCTTCCTCTCACAGGCACTGCGGACCTGAAAGTCCTCGCATACGCTGACGATATCTCCCTTTTTGTGCGAGATCGAAGCAGCCTCGAGCGCTTTCACCAGGTATTCGCCTCATACGCCCTAGCATCAGGTGCACAGCTAAATGAGAGGAAGTGTAAAGCCCTCCTATTCGGCCATTTCCCGGCGCACGTGATCGGCAACTTCGAGGTAGTCACCGCTATTAAGGTCCTCGGTATATACTTTTCCAGCGAGGGAGTTACGGCCTCAACGTGGTCCCGAGTCGTGGACAGGGCTGCACAAGTGTCAGAGAGCGCTAGCCTACAAGGCCTGACGCTATACGAGAAAGCCGTAGCCGTCAAAACAAGCATTTGCGCCCTAGCCTCGCATGCGAGCCGAGTAGCGGTGATGCCCACAAGAACAGCAAGCCAGTTGACCAAACTCATTACCGCATACCTCTGGGATGGGAAACCGCCACCATTGAAGCAAAACTTGCTACAACTGGCAGTGTCAGAAGGGGGTCTCGGCTTACCACATGTGTTGACCACGAGCAGAGTCCTGGCCCTGAAAACCGCCCGTATGCTCGCGCGCGCGAGCGATTACCTAGGGCGCAACCTACTCCTCTACTGGAGTGGAGTGAAGCACGACTGGCTGGATGCAGGCCGCCACACCGGGTCTTTTGCTGAGGCACCCGCGCCCTTCTATAAAACGGCGTCGGCTACCTGGCGCATGTTGAGGCAAGAAGTGCCCGAAGGCGATGTGGATGAGGACCAGCCAGCGCGCATCGTTGAAGCCATCACGCGGAAGCAGCTGAGCGACACTGAACAAAAACGAGCCGAGCGCGCGACGCGCGAATTACTCTCGCTCCGTTGCGGCACCCTCCGTGATGCACAGGATTTCCTCCTAAAAAAGGCCTGGGCCGTCCCCCCCCCCCCCCCCCCAGACAACGCCTGCATAAATTTGGAATAGTCCCGGATGCACGTTGTCCGAACTGTCACGCAGTTGAATCGCAGGATCACGCGTTGTTCCAATGCGTGGCGGTGAAACCCGTGTGGCGGATGGTAGCCCACTCCTTTGGTATCCGCCCACCTCCTTACCACAAGCGCAACAAAGGTGCCTTCGGCCAACTTGTGCTGATCTTCACGATGCTAGCTATTTGGCAAAGGAGATCACTAGCGGAGGCGCGTAGAAAGCCTGTCCGGAGCGCGTTTCCGGTAGTCTCACGTATCCGGCGGTTGCTATGGGCCCACCTATTCGGCGAACTCGAGGCCAGCGGCGAGGAAAACTTCCTTCGTCGCTGGCATACCAAATTCTTTTTTCTGAGGAATGGAAAGCTAGCCGCCCCAATCACTACCTGGTGACCCCCCCTCCCGCTGTCTAGCACATGCAGAAGGGGACTTGTGTATATATGTATGTATATATATATATATATATATATATATATATATATATATATATATATATATATATATATATATATATATATATATATATATATATATATATATATATATGTATATATATATATGTATATATATATATGTATGTATATCTGTATCACCTTTTTCATTTCATCACCCCATTGTCGTTGTTATTTGTAATCGATTCGGGCAAAGTGTGCTGGTCGACACTTGAGTTAATTTTTGTATAGCGCCTTCTTCATTGATTGGCGCCTTCAGTCAGTTTTTTACGCGCAGATTGTTGCTGATGCCTTATTTGGGGGGAGACAAGACCCCCCCCCACTCCCTTGTACCCCCCTTCCCCCCCAGCCTCAAAGCCTCTTTTATACTTCCGGGCATGCACTTACCGTGTACGAAAGCAGCATTGTTTCAGGCGACAAAAGAAATAATACCTAGAGTTGTACAGCGCTAAGTCGCTACTTGTTCCAACCGCGTGTTGAGAAGACCTACCACCGTGCATGAGTAAGCCTGCTGGAGCACCACGCGCTGTACAGTAAATAGAGGGGTACATTCCCCCACATACATTGTACCTCGGTAGTGGTGCTTTCCTGATTGTACATGTACCCTTTGTAGTCGTGAAGCTCGATGTTTTTGTCATGTACTTTTATCCTTGGTTGGAAGTCAATAAACTTCTCCTTGTTGCAGCACGGCTTGGCTGTCCACGGAGAAAGCAAGGCTAGTGATGGCCCGCAGCAGTGCTGCAGTGGTTACGGTGCTCGGACGCTGAACCGAAGGTCACAGGTTCGATCCCAGCTACGGCATTCATATTTCGATGGAGGCGGAACGATACAGTTTAATGTGGTACCATGCGATACGTTGAAGAACACAAAATGGTCACAGTTTCATTTGCCCACAGCTACGACGTTTTACGCGATTACATTGTGAGTTTGGGTCGTAAGATGTATGCTATTATGATTATTATTAGACTAGTTATTAAGGATGTGAAGCGAAAATTCCAACAATGCTATCGTGTTTTACTGTTGGAAGCGGAGCTTAAACGTCCTCTGAACTTTTTTTTGTCACTGCCCAAATCTTGCGACTACTAAGGCGACTGTCAAAACATACTTTCGTTTAGGTAATGTACATAGCACACTCTCTTATATGTTATAGGTTGTGATGTCGCTATGTGATAATAGTTAAAAACCTGGGTTGAAGCAGTGACATTACTTCAGGACACGCGACTATTTCAAAGCAGGTGAAGTCGCAAGGAAACGCTACCAGCCAATCTGAATGAAACTCAAACAAACATAACATACTTGGGATGCCCATGACATAATACTTGAACAAATTATTGCCTTACCATGCCAGACAAAGTACAACATACATAGTGCCGATGCTCAAGTTAACCAGATATAGCAGCTGCAAGCAAGTAACCTAAGGGCCAAAAGAATGTTGCTACTTCACAATCACGACGGCAGTGAGAACAAAAGTTTGAAATAGTTGGAGCGGAATGCCGTCGCTGTGTGCTTAGTTGTCTTCCGAATTCCGCTTGATGAAAAGAATAGAAGTGTTCACTGTATAGGAAAAAAATCTTCTGAGAATGCCAGTTTGGCAATGTGAAAGTCGGTGACTCTAAAGTGAACGCAAGCCTATTACGCAACCGAAACTTTGATTAGGAACTCTGTTGGAAGGAATGAAATTTTGTTTGGCTAACAATCTAAAGATATAGGTATGTGCACCGCTAGAAGTTTGTACAGTTTGTGTAGACGTGATTTTCTACTGAGCATAAGGAACGCGTCTTCAAAGGCTTAATCAACTTTATTGAGCAGCACTATATCTAATTTAGCCGACATCCATTATCCGGCTGAAACGCAAAGAAAACCCCATGGACACTTGTCTTGTGATCTCGTCTCTGGAATTTGTTTCTTGGCCTTTCAGACTAAATATATTGTGCACATTGGCATGAGTGTTCATTTTGCTTACAGGTCAGCTGAAAGCATATAGGAATCTTAACACAGAGGTAAAGTTATAGGTGCACTCTACTGTAGCGCGAAACGCAACAGACGTGAAAGTGGCCGACGTGGCCGTGTCGATCTCATTCTTTTTATTCGACCACAGTCGAAGTGGATTGGCTGCGCTTGCCGGTGTCCGGCTTGATAAGAGCGTGAGCTTGTTCTCTCCGGCTCGCGCACCTTGAGCTCTACAATAACTGTGCGAGAGGCGCGGCACGGTGGCTAGAAGCAACACCGACTGAATTTCAAGACCGAAGGGCTGCCGGAGTAACGTCAGAGGGTGGGGGCCCAGTTATCTTACTGAGCATGCTCAGTAAAAAATTTTCCCACATCTTTTATTCGGCCCAATCTAGACGCAGAAGCTGCGACAGCGGGAGCATTGGTTCTCCTAAAACGTGAACGAAACACTGGCTTTACGCCGCATTCGCGGCGTAACTGGGCCCCCACCCTCTGACGTCACTGCGGCAGAACTTCGGCCTTGAAATTTAGTCGGTGTTGCTAGCGCATGACAATGCTGATCACTGGCAATGAAAATTCCGCTGCGCTACTATACTAAAACGCCGATTCGGGTTAAATGACGAAGTGCAATTAGCCGGGTTGTAACCTCACGTTCTTGCTGCGTAAGCATACATATATTGTACATGAAGAAGACTAGGAAAAAATATTGAAGTTTGATTGATTGATATGTGAGGTTTAACGTCCCAAAACCACCATGTGATTATGAGAGACGCCGTAGTGGGGGGCTTCAGAAATTTCGACCACCTGGGGTTCTCTAACGTGCACACAAAAAACAAAGAAGTTGAGGAGGAGAGTAAGTGGAAAGAGAGTAATACATAGTACAGCTACGTATGACATCACGCAAGAAGGCTTCGCTTGTACGCCTAGTGCTTTTAAAAGCAACGGTGACCCAAGGGTAATAAATCTTAAAGCTCTCGCAGTCCACAACGCGATTTGCCTCGAAGGCAGGACTTCTGACTTTCTGTTACCATTTAAGAACTGCGCCGTCTGTGAAGTTCACCAGCAGGTCAACTGTGGTACGGTGAAAAAAAATAACAGAAGTTTGATCCACCGATGAGACTTACGATTCGAGATCACTGTGCCGGCTGCCCCTCAGTTACGTCATCACTGTGAACATAAAACTTTGCGTGGAAAGTAATTTCATGGCAAACCAGCTACAGCATTTACATCATAAATCGCACCACAGGATTCCTTCCTTTGCGCAGCACACACTAGTCCAGTGCCCAGTGCCCAGTGCCAAGATTTTGGAGGAACTTGTGCTTCGGTCCCGAGTCGTCACAGGCAGCAAAAATGAGGACGATGAAAAAGAATAATAAGCAGGGTAGAGAATGGCATAGTTCTCTGTTGTCACGCCGGCAAAGTCATCCGTACATATTTAACGCGTCAACCGTTAAAAGTAATATTGTGCACCGATAGTGCGGGTTATCAAGTTTACGACGCTTGCACTAAGGCTTAATTTAAGGTTCATTTATACGCAGATGAACAAAATCACAATTATCGTTAACCATGTTCACAGATGTGACACATTCATGTACAGCATGACCATGTATAGTACAGCATGAAGACGGCAAAAGGGAGGGAGAATGAGGAGAAGAGATTTGAAGAGAAATGAAACGAAAAGAGGAGAAGGTGTAGCACAGCGAAGCAGCCATAGTAGCATAGCCATGCGTATTATCGTATAACATAGGGTGGGCAAGAGAAGCAAGGGTGAGAAGGAAGCGCACGGGCATGAGGTTGAGGGAAAGAACGAACGTAATGAAGTACCATATCGTAGCTGTACGCAGTACATTACAGCAATGGGGTGGAAAATGAAAGTAAGTGTGAGGAAGAGAGATCTTAAGGTGTGGAGGAAGCGAAGGAGGAAGGTTAAAGCTTAGTAGCAAAAGGGAAACTTGGGATAGTTGGGTTGAGTTCATATAAGAACAGCGAATGTTTTGTTCTTCTTTCTTGCTTTTCTTTTTCTGCTTCGCTTCAATAAAGCTACTAGTTTTGAGTCATCACTCTCGTTGTTTAGTCTTGCTTTGTGATTCGGCTCCGTGTTCTTAAATATCAATAATGCATAGCGTATTCATGCATGGTAATAAAATAACAAGAGGTGGAAAACCAATGTGATAATGAGGGGGAGTGATGTGAAGGTGAGGACAAAGTAAAGAAGGTGGATTGAGAGTCACATCGCAAATACAGGTTTTCTTTCCTGAAATCAACGCCGAGCAGGCTGCTTTTTTAGAAAGGCAGCGGGCGCGAGCCCGATATCGCAAGCTTCTCCGGGAGGCAGGCGAATCGCTGAGCTGCACTTTCTACAGCTTTCACGTTGATTTCAGCTGCATAATTTTTTTCTGCCTTGCCTCCCCTTGTCTGTCATCATTTTATTCTCATTCCGAAATTTCTGCATTTTAGGGTGACCAACGGGAAGCTTTTTTGATTACCACTTGTGGGCTTACGTGACAGGAGCGAAAAAAAAAAAAGAGACGCCTACAAGTGGTAACAGAAAGATGAAGCTTCCATGGTTTCCACCTTTCTGTTGTCCTTACAATGTCCTTGTTAGATATGTATGTGTATGTAGCCCCTTGTATCTTTATTTCTAAGTAGCAGCAATAAACCATTGCCTTAAGTTATAGCACACCTTTAAAAGCCCTCTCGCGACGCTCTTGGTGACGCAGCCGTAGTTGATCTTGGACTGCTTTGAGAGGTCCCCGATGCTTTGTATAAGAGGGGCCTGCAGGTGCTGAGCGATTATCTGCGACGCAAGGCTGGCAGTGTAGGATGTGATCAGCACCAAGGCGAAGAGCCACCAGACGACAGCCATGATTCGGGTTGCGAGTGCCCTGGATTGTTTACAGAAGTTGGGTTAGGGTGTATTTTGCGTCACGTAGTCGCTTTGAAAGAGTGTGGGTTTAAGCTGTTTAGTAAGGATACGTCAGTGTGAAACAATGCAAAAACAACTAGGACACAGAATGAACTAAACGGGACCAAGCCCTGCTTTCAGCACTTAGTTCCATCCAGTTCTTGCTCTGTTCTCTAGTTTTTCCTTCGTTTTCTTTTCACTCTTGCGAGTCGACCTAGTTCATGCATGCGAAAGTCGCCTGTTACCAGTTTCATTTCATATGGTTTTTACGAAATCTCGCTATCATAAAATGGACCTCGCCAATTAGTTTTATACTGGCTGCCTAATGTGGATATGCGAATGATAGCTCGCTAACAGCCGCTCTCCTCGGTAATTTTACATTTGACACTGCCGAGAACTATGCCCAATGTGCCACTGCTTGCCACGTGGGTCCGCCAACGATGTCGCGTTACTGATACGCTTACGCATCAACGTTGCGCGTCTGTCTCCAGAACGCAGCTAACAACCGTGCCCTGTGGCGAAGCATATGCCTGGCCCCACTTTCGGATTTCCCGACTTTCGGCTTCAGCAAACTGCATTGACACTAGTTATCGTAAGTGAAGTTTATCGCCCGTTGGCGACACTATGTGGATGTGGACCGGCAACATGCTGTGCTTGTCAAAGGCAAAAACAGAATATAGCTTCGCCGCATTGATGCGATTCCTAAGCAAAGCTGTGCTTAGCTCTACTGCCTAAAAGTATTGCGTAACTCTAGCACACTGCCACAGCATGTTTTCCGCTGTACTTGCTGCTATTACTCCTTGACAAGTTTGTTTAACTGCGTTCCTGTAAGCTACTTCTTCTTTGTCTATCATATTCAGACTTACTCTATTGATTTCCACTGAAGACTAGCAAATCATGACTGTGAAGCGCTAGAAATAAGGGGGACTTGTAAAAAACACAGGACAAGGCCCTTGTCCTGTGTTTTTTGTAGCGCTTCACCGTCCTGAACATGTATTAACATACCCTATAATACTGACAGTCACACTAGCATACGCATGTCTGCGCTACCGAATACTTCTCATACCCGCGTTTTCGAACATTGAAAGCCATGTTCACCGCAGAGAATGCCACTTGCCTGGGAAATACCTCTGTGCCCTGCTGCAGCAGTGAACCGAGTATGAACCAGAGGCTGTCGACTAGCGTGAACCGATTTCGCAGCGTCTGCACCCGACGGGGTGCCTTCCGGTAAGCGCCGCAGGAAGTGGAGCGTCTCGCCATGGTCGCCGATCTTGATGAGGCGGCGGGAACCCACTCGGCGGCGCTGAGCCTCGAAGCGATTGCCAGCGCGAGGGACGAAGCCAGAGCTGCGCTGGCCGTGCAGAGCCAGAGCTCGCCCGTCCAAGGACGAAGGAACGCGGATTGGTCGTGAAAGTCATGGTCAACATTGCGGTACAGAACACCGAGGTCATTCTGCGTATAATACCGGAACAAAGCAAGAGGTTAAGGTTATAGCATGGTTGCTGATAACCGTCAAAACAAAGTTTGCGTGACGCACAGAAAGCGCCCTGCGATGGAAGAAAAGTGGGCACTATCCGCACTAAAAAAAAAGTCCTAGACCGACTGATATTCTTCAAAAACATTTACCGGAGGGCTTAATAACCCACATGAAAGTTAATTTTACGCATACGCTTTAAGAAAAGAATATTGCGTCATGTTTACTGTCTGTACCTGTGATGGCACGTTGTGCGCATCTGTAGATTTGCTACACGAGTGAAATTTATGTGCGTCGATATTTGACACCTTACTGCCGTCCTTTCGACTACGTTTTATGTGGACAGTAACGTTATGTGCTTTGGCAGTAATGTGGGTTGTGTTTATTACCACTCTGCCTTTCCAGTAAATTGCTATGGCTTGAACGCCTAGTGTGAGCTGTTTTGGGTGTGATGTTTTTAGGTGTAAGGCGAAACAGCTTATGGCGGAGTACAATGGCGTCACCACTCTCACTACGCATGCGCAAGAGCTACCACAAGCACCACCACAATGCACTCCCACGCAAGTGCGGTCCGGCCTTTTAAGCGGCTGACTAAGGCACTGCGGATGCTCCTCCTCGCACTCTTTTAGCATTCACGTGATGGCGTCGGGAAACAAGATTGCGCAGAAGCACGAAAAACCCACGTGCTCCCGCGAGGCGTGGCGACGAATGCGCATGGCGGGCTCTAACATCACTTCGGTACGAGTAACAGCAACAGAAACTAGGGTGATTTCATGGTCTGCTCAACTTGCAAGAACGCGTTAAATCGGGCAAGGTGTCCGTGGTGCAGAGAACTTTATTTTGACCCATGGATGCATTGCTTCACATGCTTCTCATGGTTCCCTTTAGTGGGAGATGGTGCATTTTTCGTGGTTCTGACTTTCAATAGTTCTCCTAACTGTCAAAAAGAATGAATAGCCGATGCTATATGAAAGCACCAGCGTCTCCCAAACAATATACAATACAAAAAAATCACAGCGTATCGACGGTGTGAATGATGATGAGTGGGGCGAAGCGTCAGTCAGTCCACCCGTGCTTCCACCCGTCTGTTTGTTCTTGCTTCTGTTGGTCCATACGTCCGTCTGTACGTCTGTCCTTGCATATGTCTGTGTGAACACCCGTCGTCCGTGCGTCCATACGGGTGTCTATTCGTCCGCCCGTGCATCTGTCTGTTCGTCTCTCCATCCATGCATCCGTCATTGCATCTGTTCATCCATCCATCCGTCCACGCGTCCATCCATCTGTCTGTATGCCTGTTTGTCTGTCCGCCCGTCCATCTGTTGAACACTCTGAGTACAGCCATCTCGCATCTTTTCATCGGGTATTTGTCTTTTACAAGTACCGCCATCTAGCGAACATTGCAAGGCCTCAACGAGAGGTGGCAACCTTCTACTACTACCACTACTACTACTGTACATAGGTTTAGGACAATGACCCACGACATAAGGAGATTCGCCCCTAAAAGACAAGACTCGCTTTGTGGTATTGTTGGCGCCCGCTAAAATCTTTGTCACTCACCACAGTTCTCTACCCGTAACGAGAGGCACGAGTAACGGTTTTGGCAGTTATATATATTGAATACAGGGAAATGAGTTCCATTCACTGAACAATTGCTACTTATACTTTCTCGTTGAGAAAGAAAATATTGTGATTGAGCATAAGGTTGCTTTTCACGAATACATATCATCCCACAAGTCAGTAACATCTCTATGAACATTATTGACTCAAACGGTGGCTTCACTTTAGTGTACCACCCGTGCACTCCAGGCAAACAATTAGTTTTTAATCAAACTCAGTTGTGCCTACACTAACCCTGCCTGTCATTAGAGACATGCTTTTTTTCTTCCAAGTGAGCAAACATTATTCGGTGTTATTTTTATTTAGTATTAAGGCTCAAGCAGAGACACCATTAGCAGCCATGCGGAAGACGCCATGCGATATGTGAGCGTAACACTGACCTGCAGAAAGGGTGTGGTGAAATCGACGTACTCCAGCCGTTCTCTCGTTATGGTGATGTCACCGATAGCCAGGTCGGCCTCCTAGTGACGGCAAAAGAGAGGAAAAACTATGAGTTACTGTTGTGTTGTTGAATTGATTACAATTCTTTTCAATCTACGGCAACCTAACGTACAGGATACTAGAAGAAATTATTGCCAGCTGCATTTCGCAAGCTACCTGGTGCGCGTAAGGGGGGTGCTATTATTTTCGGAGGTGAAGCTTCTCGTTTTGCATATGCCAGACGGCAACAAAATGTGCCCCGTACTCTCATTGACGGCGCAGTTATTTCAATTCGTGCTGTACGCCGCGTCATGGTTCAGCACTGCGTGCCGTGGTCCAATACGATGCCTTGTTCCAATACCGCACTGTCGTCCAATACCGTGCCATTGTGCAATACCGTGCAGTGACCCAATACCGCGTCATGGTCCAACACCGTGCCATGTTCTAATAAAGCGCCATGATCCAATACCACGTGAGGTCCTATATCGTGCCATGTTCCTATACCACGCCACGGTGCAATGCCGTACCATGATACTATACAGCAGCATGGTCCAATACCGTGCCATGGTCCATTACCGCGCGGGAATGACGGCGCTGCCCATCCCAGATCCGAAAGGTAACGAAAGCAGCCATTGCCTTTCCTCAAAGACAGCGGTCTAATTCATCGTTTACGATGTGAAAGAAAAATTCGTTACGCCTCGGCTCAATGATTAACTTCCCCCTTCTCTTCTATAACTTTACTTCCCCCTCCCCTCTTCTCAAGTGCAGGGTTGCCTACCGGGCTCATACGGGGCTCGTGTACTGTCTAGGAAATGTAATGCGCCTTAAATTTGTGCAAGCCAGCTACGGTCCAATTCACTTCGCGATCTGTCACTTGTTAATACCTGGTCAAAACTACAACTGGATTATTAAAGGTTTCTTTGGTATGTGTAAAACGTGCATGTATAAGTGTCTTGGAATTTCTTATCTCTTCTACCTCTGCTCTCTCTTTATTTTTGCTGTATCTTCTTTTCTTCATTTTTTTCTCTCGCTGTATTGAACTTGTGTTCATGCTCTAAAGATATACTAAGTGTTGTGCATTATTTTGGTCTGGGTGGGGATTGGCACATTGTCAGGCATTTAGTTGCCTTTTCGTTCTCCCTTCCCATTAAACCATTTGATAAATATGTATTATTCAATGATGAAACTTCAAACTTGTACTACATGTACGGTGAACACATGAAACTTGGTTAAACTCCCCGCCATTCACCCCGTTCTTTCTCTCTCTCTACTATATTCGGTTGACAGCTTTTCTTGATAGTCGGCCGTGCTGGTGTAGCAGTTATGCTGTTCACCTGCTGACCCGGAGATATTGAGTTCGATACAAGTCGTGGCTGCAGTATTTCGATGGAGGCGAAAAGATAGTACGTGCACGGTGCGTCTACTGTGCGATATCAGTGCTCGTAATGAACACCAGATGGCTGAAATTACCGGAACACTGCACTACGGCTTCTCTCAAAATTATATCTTGGTTTTGGAGCGTTGAAGCCCAGATATCAGTACTATTAGTAGTATTCTTCCCTTTTATTGATAGCACTGTGGAAGCTGCAGAACCGAAGCACAAGACTGCTGTCGCACCAAAAAATAGTACATCAGTTTATTAACAATTTTTTCACTTTCTTTGCTGAAATAAGGGCCACTTTTTTATTAGGAGACAGAACAGTTGCAGGAAGTCGTAGGTAAAATATAGTTATGATTCAGTTTTCAAAGCCGCCTTTGTTTTTATTCAAATTTTTAAACAGCACCACTTGCTCAGCACGCCAGTTTTTTTAAAGTAAACATAGCAACCGTGACGCAGTGGGTCAGTCTGCAGCCGCAAACGCGCTGTTTAGGTCCCCAAGAAAAAAATGACAGCAGTTTCCCGAGTGGAAACACTGGTTAGCATGCGGAGCATATATGTTGAACTGCGATAAATGTGGTTTGTAATTTGCGACATGCGTGTGTGTTATAAGTGAACACGAGTGAACACGCACGCACGTATGCTGCGAAAGACGATGTTTATTGATGAGGCGCTTTGGGTATTTTGAGCAAGATAGCTTTATGGTCCGTAAAGTGAAGGGTGAGTGGGTCTGGTTGCAGCGGTCGAAGGTCGAAGTTTGCAAAGACGTGATTGATGCACGTCCCGCGAACCGTGGTCGGATGATGTTTGCCGTCGTGCAATGCTCGTTTCAGCGAGTGCCGCGACTCCATGCAGTCGACCACCCAATCCTCCTTGATGACGTCGACGTTGAAGTCACCAACTATCACGAAGGGTCGTCGTTGTGGTCGTTGTTTCAGGTATTCTTCCACGACTTCGTCGACTTACTTCTCCTCGGCGGCACACGATAGGCACTGAGGCTGACGTCTCACTGCTCCTTCACGTTCTCGGAGCTGAGGATCTTGCGCTCGACGCCGACAACTGCGTTCCGCCTCGCGAGCTCTTCTCAGTGCGGCCTTGTCCACGGACAAAGTGTCTTAGGAATTTCTTGCGGTTCCGCCAACACATTGGCTGACGCTATTGGAAGGAACGTCAGTAAGTGTGTTTGTGGATTCGTTAGCATACATTTTCACCAGCGACATCGGACGTGGAGCGACCGCACAAACCAACCGACGAAGGGCGGCGCACGTAAAACGGGCGCACGTAAAACTAAAGGTCATGCGGCGCGCGGAGAGGAGAAGCGAGCGCAGCGCACACTGTGTTGAGAGGAGGAAGGGATGCACAGATGGCTGGCGGAGGAGGAGGGGAGGCTATGGTCAGCGAAGGCGCATGACTAGCTCCTAGTATAACATGCTCCGCATGTAAAAAAAATGGCAGGTTCCCATATACAGTGGAAATCGATGATATGCGAAGCACTAATGCGAAATGTTGATATGTCACTTTAAAATCAGCACGGCGTTACGAGGTGGAGGTAAATGATGCCGTACATGTCTTCCGTGTCATGATTAACATCTTTGGATGTGTCGTTTACCTTCGTCATCTATTCACGTCACGTGATACCAGTATTAGTAAATGTGGAGTTAGCGAAACGGCCACGAGCACGCTATGAGCGTGGTATGTTGTCATGTTCTTACATGACACGCGTGTTAAATTATCATGTTTGCACCGGCCATATATTTTGTCATCGAGCGGTGACGCAACACCAAATTTGGTATATGTGGAGCTAGCAAAACGGCCGTGAGCCCATTCTAAAGGACCCAATATACTCCAACGTAGCGTTGACGCGCGCACACGCTGGGCACAGCGACGCAACGTTAGCAAAACGCGAGCACTCTATAGTCTGACGCCGGGCACGACCAGTGACCGTCGGCGTAGTCCAACGATAACCAGTGTGAAATGCGCCATGCTACAATTCGCGCCGATGAGTTACTCGACAACACTGCGTCTCCCTCTTTTCGTGACGGAGAGACACCGGACGTGCCGAAAAGCGCATGCGTCAAAGCAACGCAGCGCGGCGTGCAGCTGCGAGTATACGGCAGGACCGGCGCCTGGCGTGGCAGCGCCAACGTGACGCGACGAAAAGAACGCCGGCGAGCACGCGCACCACTACCATCGAAATGTATAGCGCCTTGACTGTGGCATGTAGTCATGTTCTCCCATGACACGCATCTCATAATTATCATGTTTGCACCAGTCACATACCTTCGTCATCCATTGGCGTCACGTATTACATAATTTGCCATATGTGAAGCTAGCGAAATGGTTGTGAGCGCATCATCAGTATGGCGTGTAGTCATGTTGTTACATCACCCGCGTGTCGTGATTACCATGTTTGGATTTGTAATTTACCTATGTCATCCGTTCGCGTCAGGTAATACCGAGTTTGGCACATATGCTGCTAGCGAAACGGCCGCGATCGCCTCATGAGCGTAGCATGTAGTCATGTTGTTACATGAAACGCATCTCATGTTTATCATGTTTGCACCAGTATCAAACTTTGCCATCCATTCACTTCCGGCAATACCTAATTTGGTATAAGTGAAGCTAGGGAAATAGCCGACAGCTCATCATGAGCGGGGCATGTAGTCATGTTGTTACAAGACATGCATGTCATGATTTACATGTTAAAATCTGTCGCTTGTGTTCACCATGCAACCATGTCATTCCATACCGGTTTTGCAACATTCCATGTGAACGAAACCACCGCAAGAGCTACAGCATCATGAAATGTAAATCATGACATTCATGACATACATATCCTGATTTTCATGTTATGACTAGTCGAATATGCTCTTCATACAGTCATGTTGTGCCATACCAAGTTTGGTATCGATACCATCATCGAAACGGCCAGGGGAGCTAAAAGTCGTAGGCGGCTAGACAGACAGACAGACAGACAGACAGACAGACAGACAGACAGACAGACAGACAGACAGACAGACAGACAGACAGACAGACAGACAGACAGACATATAGATAGATAGATAGATAGATAGATAGATAGATAGATAGATAGATAGACAGACAGACAGACAGACAGACAGACAGACAGACAGACAGACAGACAGACAGACAGATAGATAGATAGATAGATAGATAGATAGATAGATAGATAGATAGATAGATAGATAGATAGATAGATAGATAGATAGATAGATAGATAGATAGATAGATAGATAGATACGCTCAAATTCACTGAAGTTCGCTAAGAAATGCTTCCCAATCAATATAATCGTTATACGGCACTAAAATCTACACTGAATCATTGAAATATTCCTCCCAGTCCCATTTTTGTGTATACAGTTTTATAAACACGTCATCGTCTGCTTTGCGTCCTGGTTTGCTTTGCAGGTTCAGAAAAAGTAGGTAACTATTTGGAGTACTATGCCACCGATGACGCTCACCGCAGGTACAGCTGCGCTCTAAAGATTGAAGCCAGACCCACTCTAAGTGAATATTGGGGAAGTGTGTTTACACCCTGTACCACTGCTTCTCTTATTCGCAGCATTTTTGGGCCTCCACGACGGAATGGGCTGCAAACCGGTGTATCGCTTGTTTTCGAAGCTGTCACCATGGGCTTTATCT